TGTTTCGAGGAAATCAGGAATTCTTGAATAAGAACATAATTGAAAAAACCTAGTCAAAGAAAAAACTTTAGTACACGCGAAACAGGATAAACTTTTTCAATGCTAGGCCGACTGAAGGGTATCATAAGGTCTATTCATCTAATTGTGGGAAAGCTCACATTTCGGCTATTAAATCACCTTAAGCGGGCTAGGCAACCTAAGCATATATTCTCACAATGAATCAAAATTAGCCAAACTTATTTTCAGTAATGCAAAAGCATAAAAGATTAATATGATTTCTTCATTAAAATAATTCTTGCCATAATATTTAAAACTTTGGCAAAGTGATTATTTTATTATAAATTAATTATCTAATCACAATGCAGTTGGGCAATTCAAGAAAATAAACATGTTCAAAATTTGTCATGAATCATTTTTATGTGCACATTAGCTTAAAACAGAACACAATATATCTAAATTGAGTAGGATTTCCAAACTATCAATATATCTTTTGTATAAGAACTTTCTGCGAGGTCGATTAATGGGATTGAGTACTAATAGTGACTTTTCACACAGTCAGATGGGCCTCACGAGGCAATTGATATTCAATTAATCTTTTTTTCAAAATTTATTATCATCCAGGCCGTATTGCAGTTTCGGCTTCTTCTAGGCCTAAGCAGCCTCCCCAGCCAAAATCGAAACCTAGCAGTATAGTGTATAATTTCTGTATGCTACCACTACGCCACACTATTACGAGTATAAATCGGTCATATGGTAGATGTGAATTTCAACGTAAACTAGTCCTCGCTCAGATCGAATCAGTTTAAGCTAATTATGTTTACGGCAGCTTTTATTCAAGATCTAACTGTAGTCTTAGAATTCTATTTACTCCTAACGAAATTGATGTTGCTGATCATAATGGCATATATATGTTTTATTTAGAGACAATCCTACAATTAAAATGTGGTATATAAAAGGCCTAGCTTGCGGTTCAATTTGCTTCTGTCCCGTGACTGACTAGCACTCTTGTTCTTATAGTGTGATGATAGCATGTCACACTTGTACACTGCACTAGTAGGGTTTAAGTCCTTCTGTGGATGCCATTAAAATTTAGGAAAGGTCGAAACTGCAATCCTCTCTTGCTAAGAATAACTTCCGGAAGCAAGGCCAGGTGAAATTCGTCTGCATCGGGAAACCTACTCATTTGATTGTGGGAAAATTCGCCATGAGTCCTCCACACCTGAAATAATCTAGGGTGACTAAATCTTATATTCAAAAGCATAATATAGATATATATATACATTTATTCTGGATATCCTTAAATTATAATAAGTAAGTTCGCCATAGAAGCGAGCAGTCGGTCCACAGTCTTATATACAGTCATGACCTGATTCAACATAAATTCACTGAAAAAATTCACAAATTTAAACTTATAAATTGCTTCTACCTAAAACGTGGGAAACTTTTTGCAATTATATATTCTTATGTAACACTAATCAACTTACCACCAACTCCGCTGGCTAACACATAAGGCGTACTCAAGCAAATTGAATCAAGACGGGATCTAGTTTCTTGCGAAAGCAGTTCTTGCATTCTAATCACTTCCATTTGAAGCCTGCGGTTCTTTTTGTCCATTAACTCGGATGCTTCATTCAGAGTCTCATCATTTTCAAGTTTAAAAGACGAAATAGGGGAATGAATAGGTTCAGCTGATTCAAATTTCCATACATCCGATTGCCTCTTCTTTTTTTCATTCTGAATGGCCCTTAGTTCTAAAATAATGCTCTCATCATCATATTCATCGGCTCTTTCTTCTTCTTCTTCTTCTTCTTCTCCTCCTCCTTGATCTCCTCCTCCTCCTTTAGCCTCGCACTCAAATGCTTCTTCTGGCATTGGGGTTTCAACAGAAGTAGCGGGAATTTCAGCTGTAGATAAAGTATCGGATTTTGATTTAGTATCACCACTAGATGTGTCCTCATAACCCCCTTTAACTTTTTCCTCTTTCCTTTTTTCCCTATCCTCGAACACCTTTAGTTCTAAATCACTTGAAACGTCAGGAACAGTCTCTTCTATGTTTCTCAGTATATCACAAGGAAGGACTTCAGCTTCTGAAGGACTCGAAATTGCGAGAGAACATGGCGGACTGGATGGTGGAATAAGAGAAGTCGATATTTCATCAATAACCTTCTTTTTTTCATCCTCCGCCCCGACAGT